ATAAAAAAAAATATCATTAGACCGTAATTCTAAATGATGATATATCCAAACAAATGAATCACAACACCATGCAAGACCGGGGACCGCTTAGAACCACTAGCTTTTGACTCTGCATCTTCTTCTGCAAGTATGCAAGACCGGGGACCGCTTAGAACCACAACCACTAGCTTTTGGCACTACATCTTCTTCTGCAAGTGGTGTGCAGCTGTCGATCGGTGCATGCAGTGCTTCATGTCCTTCATTTAAATTGACCTGGGAAACAAATCAAAACCACAATCGATCTCAAGTATTATCACAAACCGTAGCCTTTGCCCTTTGCTGCAAGTATGAGTAATTACCAGCCATTGCCATCCCTTCACATTGCAATGTATCCATGGTTTGCCATGGGACACTTAACCCCCTACCTCCACCTCTCCAACAAGCTAGCCGAAAGAGGCCACAGAATCTCCTTCTTCGTACCAACCAAAACCCAGCAAAAATTACAAGCTTTAAACCTCCACCCTCATCTCATATCCTTCATTCCCATCACCGTCCCTCACGTCGACGGCCTTCCGCTGGGCGCCGAAACCACAAACGATGTCCCTTTCCCTTCCTACTCTCTCCTTATGGACGCCATGGACCTCACTCAGCCAGCAATCCTGCAAGCAATCTGTGAACTAAACCCTAATTTTGTTTTCTTCGACTTCACGCCATGGTTGCCAAAATTATTACGTCAGCTAGGTACAGGCATTAAATCTATAAACTACATCATTATTAGTCCTGCATTTGTGGGTTATGTGAGAAGCCCAGAAAGAAAAGTACTAATGGAGAAATCGGTGTTGACGGAAGATGATCTTATCAACGATCTTGTCAACCCGCCGCCATCTTTTCCACCATCTTCAATCAAGCTACCAGCACACGAAGCTCGAATGCTGGCGCCATTCCTGCTGAAGGAGTTCGGCAGCGGGAAGAAATTCATCGAGCGCCAAATCATCTCCTTGAACGACTGCGACGCGGCGGCTTTCAGGGCTTGTAGGGAGATGGAAGGGAAGTACTGCGATTATCTTGAAACCCAATTGAGAAAGCCGGTGCTTCTCGCAGGGCCGTTGGTGCCAGAGACCCCGACTACAGAGTTGGACGTGAAGTGGGCAAAATGGCTTGAAAGGTTCGAAGCCAAAAGCGTGATATACTGTGCATTTGGATCTGAATGCGTTCTGAAAATTGATCAGTTTCAAGAATTGTTGTTGGGTTTTGAGCTCACGGGTTTACCCTTCTTCGCTGCACTGAAGCCGCCGATGGGAGTTGAAGCGATCAAGTCAGCGTTGCCGGAAGGGTTTGAAGGGAGGGTAAAAGGAAGAGGGGTTGTGAGTTGGGGTTGGGTGCAACAACCATTGATATTGAAGCACCCTTCTGTGGGGTGCTTCGTGACGCATTGTGGTTCATCGTCGTTGATGGAGGGGCTGGTGAGCGAGTGCCAGCTTGTTCTGCTGCCGAACGTGGCGGATCAGATAGCCATTGCAAGAGTGATGGGTCGTGATCTGAGAGTTGGAGTGGAGGTAGAGAAAGGAGAGGAAGATGGGGTTTTTACGAAGGAGGGTGTTTGCAAGGCTGTGAGAGATGTGATGGATGCGGAGAGCGAGGTGGGGAAGGAAGTGAGGAGAAACCATGCAAAGTTGAGGGAGGTTCTTTCCAGTAAAGGGCTTGAGAACTCCTACATTGACAGTTTTGTGGAGAAGCTGCATGCGCTGCTTGGCTTAAAACAGTAAAGTTTGATAGAGTATAAGTATTGAAGGTTAAGAGTGTGCCCCCTTGTACTAAGATTATAAGCTTGATTAGTTAGGTGGTCAGATAAGTTTGTTCTCAGAGAAGTATAAACACTACTTCCTATGTATTACTTGGTTGCTAAGAAAACATAATAAGAATATTCAGTTCCCTCAATTTCCCTCCCTTTTTCTCTTTCTGTGTTCATCAAGATCTTCATCATATGTTGGTTAACATGGTATTGATTGCCTTCGTAGCTTACGAGTGATCTTTCGATCCTTTTCTCTGCTTCTGCTCACCAAGATTTGGTATTCGTCTTCTCTGAATCACGGTTTTTGCCACTGCAATTCAGCTCGTCTTCTTGAAACTCTCTCAATCTAGGGTTTGGTTGATCTTGATATTCGACTGGTCTTCTTCTGCATCTTCTCAATTTGTGCACACCAGGTATTTGTGACGAAACCTCAGTGACACTTTCTTACAGAATCAAGCTTTGTTGATCGCATTCTGTTTCACGACGGTGACTGCATCACAACTTCAGATTCTTCAATCTCCAGTTACGGCCCTGATTCCTTCAGTTTCAACTTCAGTGAGTGTGTAACTTGATGACTTGAATTACCTAAATTGGCACTTCCAATTGCAGCTCATGCTGGAAAATAATTGTGTCATGGGATTTGTAGATGTATCTTATCCATGTCCGACTCAGCACACCTCTCAATCCGGTGACTTTAGTATAAACTCTACCGACTCTTATTCTTTTGTGGAAAGTGATGCTTTTATTGTCTGGAAGATGCATGATCGTGCCATTATGCAATTAATTACTTCTACACTTTCACCTGTTGCTATGTCATGTGCAATTGGTAGCTCGAGTTCTAAAGAATGTGGATTAGGTTGAAAGAACAGTTCTCAACTGTTTCTAGAACTAGCATTATTTTCCAAATGAAATCCAACTTACAAACTATTAAGAAAGGCTTAGATACTATCACTCAATACCTGTATAGAATAAAAGAAGTCAGAGACTATCTGACTGCAGCGGGAGTTTATTACACTGATGAGGACATTGTAATTCTTGCTCTGAATGGTCTGCCACCTGAATATAATAGTTTTTGGTGTGTTATTTGGGGTGCTGAGAGTGTTTTTAGCATTAAAGTGTTGAGATCACAGTTGCTTGCTGAAGAAGCATTTGTTGATAGCTCTTCAACTGCACAATTCTCTCTGCTATGGTTGCTGGTACTGCTTCTTCTGCATCCAATGGAATTGGCTTCAAAAATCTTCTAGTTAATCATCTTTCATTTCTGGGGGTTACAAACCTGTTTATGGCAACGAAATAAAGGGAAAAGGATTTAATTAGGACTCAAGACCATTCAAACTTGTCAGTTATGAGAAAGGATTTAATTAGGACTCAAGATCTTTCAGCTCAGTGCTATAGCAATTCATCTGCACCCCCAATTCAAACTTGTCGGTTATGCAATGCTGAAGGACATACTGCTCCGTTTTGTGGTTCCAAACCTCCTAAGAGATCTCGTTGTCATGTATGTGGCAAAAATAACCATACTGCATGGTACTGTTTCTACAATGACAAAAGACCCGATTATGTTGGCTCTCGTTCTCAGTCCAAGTATGCATAGATGCCATCTTCATATGGTCAATCTTATTCAATGCCAGGATATTCAATGTCATCCCAACAATATCAATCTCAGCAACCATCTATGCAGGCTATGCATACTGCTTAAAGTCTGCTTAGACAACAACTGTTGGCTCATCTTTGATGCACTTTGTTTCTGAATTTAGGACAAGGCCACATAAAGGATTCTCTACAAAGGGTTGTGCAGTAATGGATTATATCCCATCCCACTTGCTTCATCCAATTCTGTAACAACCAAATCCACGTCACTAGCTCAAACACATCTTGGTCAACTTGTTCTTTCATCCACTTGGCATAGTAGATTAGGACATCCATCAAATAATGTTGTGTCTCAGATGTTGAATAAAGCTCATTTGCCATGTAAAAACACAAATGCAATAACTAAATCCACATCACATTCGTTTCATAAGCTTATGGTGAACAGTAAAAATACATTAGGCTCACTAACATGGAGGTAACAAATTACAGGTTTTAAGAATTTAACGTGGTTAATCATGTCTATAAAAAATAAAAATAAAAAGGAGTTAAAATGTACGGAATTTAACGTGGTCAATCATGTCCATAAAAAAAAAAGGGAGTTAAAATGTACGGAATAATCTTAAGATCAAACATCCATGCCTTTTATGATTTGATTAAACATTTTTTTGGTCATAATTTTCGTGCTATATGCACATTATATTGTAACAAATTTCCTATAATCTAGCATTTTGATTATACTCTCATCCGTTAGAGATCATTGTAAAAAAAAAGAAAGTTGGTTAGATTCAATTTATTTTCACAATAATACTACAATTTAACAATAATTATATACGATTTAAGATATTTTCTTTCTAAAATAGTTTAAAATATTTTTAAATCCCACAAAATCAAACATACCGAAATAAGTTTTTCTTTTAGTACGTTAAGAGAAAATAGGATTTAGAATAATATAAACATACCAATACACAATGTGTACAAAATTAAACGTACCAAAATAAAAATAATGCACCAATATTAATAATATGTATCAAATCAAACGTACCAAAATTGTAAATAAACGTACCAATTAATGATTTTTGTAAATTCAAACGTACCTGCAGATAATATATACGTAATGTATTGTACCTAATAATAATTCTTCAACAACTATACTTAAAAAAAACAGCAAAAAAATAATAATAATAATTTCATAGAAAAATTGAAAAAATTACACGGGGCTTTTATGTTGATCACCAACTATTTGAAAAAAAAAAAAAAAAAAACTGTGATCGAAAAAACATATATGGAAGAAGAGAAAATATAATTTAATTACTAATATTTCTACTAAATAATGAAGAGTGTATCATGCAGATAAAATGATAAATTTAAAAATTATTTTAATTTAAAAAAATATAATAATAATAGGTGACTATTGATCAAAGTATTTTAATCAAATTTTAAAAAGGCATATATGTTTAATCTAAATGATATAGAAAAATAGTAAGATTCTAATTTTCTTTAAAATATAAAAATTTTGAAGTGTACAGTTAAAATTTTGAAGTGCAGAGTAAAAGTCAATAAAACCGAAAGCAGCGTACATGTTAAAGACGGATTTCCCTCCATAACACGCCGCTCACAAACCCCTTTGTCCTTCGATATTCCTGGGACGAATCGACTAGGGTTTTTCGATTTCACTGTCGAATTTCATCGAAACTCCAGTCCTCAAATCATTGCCATAATCCACCAAAATTTCCGATTCTTTTTGGTGCAGAGTTTGAACCGGAATTTTCCTGTGCCGTTTCCTCTTCTGTTTGAATTCAGACGATGGGAAGGGGGAAGTACAAGAGCAAGCCCACCGGCCATCGGCAGTTCTCCAATCCCGAAGATCTTCGTAAGACAAACACTCCTTAATTTTTAGCTTTTTATTTTATTTTTTATTTTATTGAGTAACCAGTTTGTTGTTTAAAATTTGCTTTCCCTCCAACTTTCTGGGGTTTTCTCGGTAACCAAACAGCGGATTATGGCCCTTGGGCTCGTTGAATTGACAAATTGTACTGGTGTTGTTTGACCATGTTGTGTGTTTATGAGTGATTGAATTGAAATTATTTGAATTTTTATTGTTGGTTTGTTTGATATTACAATTTTTTTAGAGCATGAAAACGATTTGACTTTGAATTTAGGTAATTGATATGAATTTTGATTGTTTTGGATTTTTTGTTTGATTCGCAGAAAGTGATTAAAATTCTTGTCAAAATTAAGCAATCTTGACTTCTTTGTTGTTGTATTTATAAATTTGCAGTTGCTGGTACCTCAAGCCGTCCGCAGACTTTTTCAAAGGTTTGTCCCTCTCACACTCGCATATTGGTGATACGAAACTTTTCGGTTTAAGAAAGTTAATTTGCTGTTTTCCTTAGCGAGAAGCTGAGCGTGATGAAGTTGAAGTAGATTTCGTGGCAAGTTCCGAAGAGGAGTCTGGAGATGAATCCGAAGGACATGAGGAGGTTAGTGAACATGAACTGTCATCTATGTAGAAAGTTTTTGTATTTTTTGGTTGGTTTATACGATTTTAATGAGTAAGTAATAAATGTGGATCTTTTTTTTTTGTGTTGGCAATTAATGTTATCAGAAGAAGAAGGGGATCCAAGGGATTATTGAGATTCAAAATCCGAATTTGGTAAAGTCGAAGACCGTGAAAGCTCGAGACGTTGATGTAAGTTCTGCAATTTACTTTGACAATAGCTGTGAATTCTGACAGTGAATTTTGTGAAGGAGTAATATTTGTTATTTGCTCTACAGATGGGAAGGACAACCGAACTCTCAAGGCGTGAAAGGTTTGTCCGTGGATTATAAGTTCTATTCGTATTTCTTCTTTTATCCTAATCGGTTTTGACATCCTCAATTTTTGTTCATTTGTTTTCAGAGAAGAATTGGAGAAACAGAGAGCCCGCGAGAGATATATGAGGCTGCAAGAACAGGGAAAAACTGAACAAGCAAGGAAAGATTTAGGTATTTCGTTGTGATTATTGTTTGCAAAGAGAACTTATTAGCATTTCTCTCATCACGTGACACATTCAAAGTGGAGGGAGCTCCTTTCCAGTAAAGGGCTTGAGAACTCCTACATTGACAGTTTTGTGGAGAAGCTGCATGCGCTGCTTGGCTTAAAACAGTAAAGTTTGATAGAGTATAAGTATTGAAGGTTAAGAGTGTGCCCCCTTGTACTGAGATTATAAGCTTTATTAGTTAGGTGGTTAGATAAGTTTGTTCTCAGAGAAGTATAAACACTACTTCCTATGTATCACTTGGTTGTTAAGAAAACATTATAAGAATGTTCAGTTCCCTCAAATTCCCTGTCTTTTTCTCTCTAAAGTTCTGAGCTCTTTCTCTCTCTGTGTTCATCAAGATCTTCATCATATATTGGTTAACATTGCATTGATTGCCTTCGTAGCTTACAAGTGATCTTTCGATCCTTTTGTCTGCTTCCGCTCACCAAGATTTGGTATTCGTCGTCTCTGAATCGTGGTTTTTGCCACTGCAATTCAGCTCGTCTTCTTGAAACCCTCACAATCTAGGGTTTGGTTGATCTTGATATTCCATCGATCTTCTTCTGCCTCTTCTCAATTTGTGCACACCAGGTGCTTGTAACGAATCTTTAGTGACATTTTCTTACAGAATCAAGCTTTGTTGATCGCATTCTGTTTCACGATGACTGCATCACAACTTCAGATTCTTCAATCTCCAATTACGGCCCTGATTCCTTCAGTTCCAACTTCAGTGAGTGTGTAACTTGATAACTTGAATTACCTAAATTGGCATTTCCAATTGCAGCTCATGCTGGAAAATAATTGTGTCATGGTATTTGTAGATGTATCTTATCCATGTCCGACTCAGCACACCTCTCAATCCGGTGACTGTAGTATAAACTCTACCGACTCTTATTCTTTTGTGGAAAGTGATACTTTTGTTGTCTGAAAGATGCATGATTGTGCCATTATGCAAATAATTACTTCTAAAGAATGTGGATTAGGTTGAAAGAATAGTTCTCAACTGTTTCTAGAACTAGCATTATTTTCCAAATGAAATCCAATTTACAAACTATTAAGAAAGGCTTAGATACTATCACTCAATACCTGTATAGAATAAAAGAAGTCAGACACCATCTAGAAAAATAGAAAGAAATTTGCATAAGTATTATTACTTGTCCTCTAGATTGGTATGCACATATGCACAAGGAGAAAGCTAGGCATATAGCCATGATTAATGATGAGTTATTTAGACTATCCTCTATCTCCCCACACATGTGGACTCCTTCATACAAAAATATTTTAAGATTTCGAGGGATTCAAATGTTAGCCTTAGATGAGTTTGAGGATTTTAGATATGATATGTTATTAATAGCAGAAGAAGAAGAAATGTATATTTACAGTAAGACAAGAATCAGTCATCAGCCATACTGAAAGCCTCAAAATTTCAAAGAAGAAACAACAAAAATGTACTACAAAGTAAAAGAAGATAGAGAAAGAGATGCATATTTAATTGAAGGCGATGAACAATACTGGAACAACTTGACAGAAGAAGAGCTGCATAACATCAACAACATGATGGAAGCATAAAGAGCTGGTAGCAAATTAGCATAAGTTGAATAGTATCATGTAAAATAATGTATTTCTAGACATAAATGTCAACATCATTGTGGACCCCGCTACAATAATAAAATAATGGCATAAGAGTAAATAGAGAAAAAAACTTAATCCATTATGGCCATTTCATACACAAAATATCTTTTTGATTAAGAATGAATAGTGTCAGACCATTTTCGTTAAAACTCTTCTATTTATTTATTTATTGAGTAACCAGTTTGTTATTTAAATTTTGCTTTCCCTCCAACTTTTTGGGGTTTTCTCGGTAACCACACAGAGGATTATGGCCCTTGGGCTCGTTGAGTTGACAAATTGTACTGGTGTAGTTTGACCAAGTTGTGTTTTATGAGTGATTGAATTGAAATTATTTGAATTTTGATTGTTGGTTTGTTTGATATTACAATTTTTTTAGAACATGAAAACGATTTGACTTTGAATTTAGGTAATTGATATGAATTTTGATTGTTTTGGTTGGTTTGTTTGATTCGCAGAAGTGAATAAAATTCTTGTCAAAATTAAGCAATTCTGACATCTTTGTTGTTGTATTTATAAATTTGCAGTTGCTGGTACCTCAAGCCGTCCGCGGACTTTTTCAAAGGTTTGTCCCTCTCACACTCACATTCTATATGGTGATACGAAACTATTGATTTTTCGGTTTAAGAAAGTTAATTTGTTGTTTTCCTTAGCGGGAAGCTGAGCGTGATGAAGTTGAAGTAGATTTCGTGGCAAGTTCCGAAGAAGAGTCTGGAGATGAATCCGAAGGACATGAGGAGGTTAGTGAACATGAACTGTCATCTATATCGAAAGTTTTTGTATTTTTTGGTTGGTTTATACTGTTTTAATGAGCAAGTAGTAAATGTGAATCTTCTTTTTTGTGTTGCCAAATAATGTTATCAGAAGAAGAAGGGGATCCAAGGGATTATTGAGATTGAAAATCCGAATTTGGTAAAGCTGAAGACCATGAAAGCTCGAGACGTTGATGTAAGTTCTGCAATTTACTTTGACAATGGCTGTGAATTCTGATAGTGGATTTTGTGAAAGAGTAATATTTGTTATTTTCTCTACAGATGGGAAGGACAACTGAACTCTCAAGGCTTGAAAGGTTTGTCTGTGGATTATAAGTTCTATTCGTATTTCTTCTTTTATCCTAATCGGTTTTGACATCCTCAATTTTTGTAAATTTGTTTTCAGAGAAGAATTGGAGAAATAGAGAGCCCGCGAGAGATATATGAGGCTGCAAGAACATGCAAAAACTGAACGAGCAAGGAAAGATTTAGGTATTTTGTCATGATTATTGTTTGTAAAGAGTACCTATTAGTATCTCTCTCATCACGTGACACATTCAGGTGATGAGAGAGATACTAATGAAGGGATATACAATCGGCTACATGTTAGAATCTCTCTGATTCAGGACACGGTTGTTAGCTGACTTATGGATTGGCTTGCAGCTTGCCTTGTAATTTTTGTTGTCGAGTTACAATCCCGTCAATATTTTTGGCTGCACATTTTACTGCTGAAAAGTTGTTAGATATGGGTTCTTTAGAGAAGAACAAGAGGCTCCTATGGGCTGGATTTGCACTTTCACAGCTATAGTTTTGAAATTCTTATTGATATCATTTTGTTGATCATGCAGAGCGTTTAGCGCTTATACGAGAGCAAAGGGCGGAAGCTGCTAAAAAGAGAGAAGAAGAAAAAGCTGGTAATGTTTCTGAGACCAGCACAACTTGTTGCTTGTTTCTTTGTTCCGTTTTTTCTTCTATTTTTCGTGTCGATTTCTCTTGTTCTGGATCTTCAAACACTGTAATTGTTCAACTCCCAATTGTTTAAGCCAAAGAACAGAAGAAGGTTGAAGCCCGCAAATGATCAACTTGAAGCAAAACAAAGTCATGCTGCTGTTAGAATTTTATTGTTTAATGGAAAAATTATGCAGGTAACTACCCATTGGATTTTTTAAACCTTTTAGTAACTTTTGGAATACTTACTGTGTAAAACATTCATTGGGCAATTTGACAATTGTAGTGCCTATCCATTGGAGGCGTAATTTTATTCGGCTTTTTTTTAAAAGCAGTTTACAAAAGTAAGATTTTTTGTATTTTTGATTTTATTCGGTTTTATGCTAATCTTATTTGGTGCAAGAGCTACTCTAATTAGTAAACTTGCAAAAAACGTTCATCTTCTCAAAAGGGTATAGCTTGGCAAGAATGAGGATCCTTTTCGGATTCTCTTTGTGAGAATTCTGAGAATTCTCAGATCGTGTCCGTTCATCATATATCGTGCAGCTAGAAATCATTTTAAATACTTTTATTTTAAATTAAATATGAATAGTACATGATGAAAATTGGTAGCACAATATACGATTAACGGTCACAAATTAAGGATTCCCAAGATAAGGATATACGATAAATGGACACAATTTGAGGATTCTCAGGATAAGGATGACGTCATTTTTACAATTACTTAGTCACTTTCAGATAATATTAATGTTATCGATCATATGTTGTTAATATATAACTCATTTGGAAGTGTTTTTAAAATGATTAAAAATATTTTTAATGAAATTATTTTGGTTCTAAAAGCATTATAAGTGTTTTTGAAGAACCACCAAATATGTAGTTTTTGCATAAAGTATTAAAGTGTTTTGCAAGGAGCATTTTAAAGTGTTTTTTCAAACTCAATTGAATTTTCACTTTAGTTATTGTAAAATCACTTCTAAACAAACTAATTCATGTCAATATTGGTTAGCCGGTCCAACCTAGTTCATCAGATGCGAGAGTGAGCCACCTGAACAGGTGGCAAACGACGGAATATATAAGAGAAAAAGAACACTCTTCCCTCTTGGGCAAAGCCGGAAACACAAACAAAACCGGAGGCACCGACTCACCAGAGCCATGACCGAACCCAAACGCGATACACCTCAAAACGTTCCTCCTTCCGAGATTAACAACAACGCCCATACTAGCAAACCCAGCAGTAGTTTCTCGGGCCAAAAGGTCCGCTTCCCGAACCCGCCCGACCCGGAAATCCCAGACGGGGCAACGCTTCGGGAGCGGTGGAAGTTCGCCATCAGGCAGTACAGCAGATGGTACTCTCACGCCTGGGGCACCGCCATTCTCGCTGGAGCTTCCTTTTTCGCCCTCGATTGGTTGATCAAGGGCGGTAATCCTCTGCCCTCTGTCGGCCGCCACGACGATTCTCCTCCTTTGGAGATTATTTGACAGTTTTCTGCTCGATGGCAATTTCGTAAATAATGTGAAGTTGGGTTAACAGATTTGGGTTAACCTCTGTTACGGACACAAAGCAGGAAGAAAGATTTGATGTTGCATGTAGGGTTTTATTTCAGCCCGCGGAATTTAATTTTTTTGGACCTGTCATATGTTTGCTTTTGTCCGTTTCATTAAATCTCAAGTTCATTTCATTAAATAATAGTGATGGGTAGTCTTTTGTTAAAAAAATAGTTGGTATAAACTCTTTTCATTAAAGCTCTGTAAAATAAAAAAGAAAAATTTATCATAAACCTCTCCACCTCCACAATTAGAACCCGGATTGTAATTTGGGATTTTCGAACAATTTTGTTTAATAATAATTGTTCTTTAAATTATAATTTTTTTTAAGCAAGGGTTATTTTTGGAGATAATGGTAGGTGAGGATAGAGTTTATGTGTATTTTCATTTTTTATGATAGGAGAAATATAAGGTGGGTAGAGAGATAAGATATTGAAGTGGATATAGCATTACTCTAAACAAAAATAGTAAAATTTTGTTTGATGAAATTACGTTACTTACTTTAATTTTTTGTTATGATAGAACAAAGAAATAATTATATTTTAGGGAATTTTAATAAAAAGCTCTCGATACTGTTTATTTTAACAAAATACCAAATTTTTACACTAAAAAGTCAATTATAGTACTATTTACTTTACCTTTTATTTTGTCCTAATCATTAAAACTTAAAATTTTTAAATCTTTTTTATTAGTTTTTCTTATATTTTATTCTCTAATGGTGTGTGTAATTTGTAATTTACATTATTAAATTTCGGTTTTAGTTAAGACAGCAAGACAGACGCATCAACTTGGGAAGGGGATCCTTTCCCATCAACTACCAAAGCAAAGGAAACAACAAATATATTTAAAGCAAAAGGGCATATTGGTGGAAGGTGGCAGCCACTAAAGCTACGGACCCATATCTGCCCTCCCACTTTCCGTATCTTTTCATGTTTTTTTATTTATATGGTCACTGTTAAATTACATCAACATTTTATATTACTATTTATTTTTATTTTATTATCTTTATAAAAAAATAATATAAAATATTGATGTAATTTAATTATGATCATACCAAACAGTAAGGTACGAAAGGCACGAAAAGTAGAAGGACATACAATCCTTATCCTTATTCATGAGTAGTATTAAGACTACTTTAATAAATTCAAGTTGTTGCAAAAACCATGTTTATTTCAGAATACTTTTGGCAACATTTATTAATTCATTTAAAAATAGTCTTAGTGTTCAGAATTTTTATTTATTACCCGGACTATAACAATTAAAAATAATAAAATAGTCCAAATTATTAATATTTTAAACTCAAACAATTAAAATTCTTTCTATGCTAGAACCCACCCTAGCCTTGTTAATGGTTCTGCCGTTGGGCCTAGTTCCTAGGGAGTTAAGTGGCCTAGGCGAGGTCAAGGAGGAGACCTAGACGAACTAAACGGATTTAAGTAATTAATTTATCATGTATAGTATAATAAGTGTTTACTTATACTTAAAAGATACATAATTTTATTGGTAATATATAAATTGCAAAATAAAATGACATATAGATTATAAAGTATTATAATATAATACAAAATGAAAGTTATTGATTTCTGTCTAAGTGAGCGTCGCAACCTAGGTGAGTCTAGCCAGGGTAGGCAGACGACGCCTAGATAGTTTATTTTTAAAAGCATAAGGATTAATCCGGACGATAACCAACCGCTTACGGCTAGACAGAGATTTTTAGAACAATGATTAAAATAGATATATGCATGATTTTGAAAAATGAGAAGCCATCCATATTTTATATAAGGACCCCTTGCATTATTTATAATTCAATTATCAACAAATACATGATTTGGTTTAAAATTTTAGCCTCCTTTCCATTACCCTCATTTGATATATCCAATAATTGAACCACGTCGTCTTCTGCAAGTGTTGTGCAGCTGTCGATCGGTGCATGCACAGTGCTTCATGTCCTCCATTTAAAGTGACCTGGGAAACAAATCAAAACCACAATCGATCTCAAGGATTATTACAAACCGTAGCCTATGCCCTTTGCTTCAAGTATGAGTAATTACCAGCCATTGCTATCCCTTCACATTGCAATGTATCCATGGTTTGCCATGGGACACTTAACCCCCTACCTCCACCTCTCCAACAAATAAATTAAAGCAATAGACGGTAATTCTAGTTATAGTAAATAAATTGCATATAAGTAAATAAAGTTTGTGATAATGGCTTTAATTCAGCACCATTCACATAAATCAAAACTTAAAGCAGTAGGCGGTAAAACCGTCCATGGTAAATAAATTGCTTTAAAGTAAATAGAACTTGTGAAAGAATTTTAAGCCAACATCATTCACATAAATAAATATATATATATTTTTCCTTCTTTTTTTTTTCAGATGGTGTAACACCATCCAAAAACTTTTACCTTTTTTATTTATTATTATTTTCTTATTCATTCACATGCTGCACAATTTCATAAAAAAACCTTTGCTTTTTGTTTTCTTTCACATGGTGCGACGTACCTTTCCAAAGCTTTTTTTTTTTTTTTAGAGTTTTAACGAAAAGCTAGAGGTACTGTTCACTTTAACGAAAAACCATATTTTTATACTAAAATGTCAATCCTGGTACTATTCAATTTCCCATTTATTTTGTCCTTATCGTTAAAACTCAAAGTTTTAAAGTCATTTTCATTAGTTTCTTTTTTTCTTTTTTTTTGTCCTTATCGTTAAAACTCAAAGTTTTAAAGTCATTTTCATTAGTTTTTTTTTTTTTTTTGGAAACCGTACCTTTCCAAAGCATTGGCCCCATTGCCCTTTTTATTTTTGTTTTCATTTCACAACTCTAAGTCATTTTAGTTACTCAGGAACTAATAGTAACAATAAGTTACAATTGGTGTTCCTCCTCCAGTGAGTTTCGAAAAAGTCGAAACGGTTCCCATAAGTTTTAGAGTCAAGAGTGTCTACAACTTATGGGAAGATCAAAGTATTAAATTTAGCTCAAATTTTAGTATGATATGGATAAAAGGATATCGAACAACTTTTGTGAAGAAACAATTTCGATCTGAGCTACCGAAATGGAGTTTTGGTACTCATAAGGTGCCTATCCAATTTTTTGCGGAAATTAGAAACTGGTTTGATATTTCAGGCATCTGCGATGATCGCACCGTTGGAATTTTCTAAAAAATTGATATGTTGTAGGTACTGGACGGACGAACAACTTTGAAGAAGAAAGTATTTTAATCTGATGTCTGCAAGTTGGAGTTCCGAGGCTGTTTACATGGTTAGATTCTCTCCGAATTTTGAGTATGTACTTTTTTGTTTTTGCAAAGGATGATATACAGTCATACAACAACATATATATATTTGCTTCGAAAAATCAGTAGTACAAAGATTTTAAGATGAAATGAAAAGATTTTCTTATCTGTGAGATTCCAGGCAACAGAGGTGAACATGATTTGTGGCGTTGTGCTTTCCACTGACACGAGAGCTTCTCGTGCTGATAACGTATTATAAAATTGACGGTGTGTGCAGTGGAATAAATGAAACAAGATACAAAATTTACGAGGTTCCTTTACAGTTAGTGTGACTAGAGTACGTCCTCAGGACAGCAGTGATGCTTTCATTATAATTTAGAATAATGAAAGTACAAAAATAACTCTCTCTATTATCTCATCGCCTCTTCCTCTCTTATATCTCTTCCTCTTTCATGAACTTCTTACTTATGTTGTGTGAAGTTTGTACTTATATAGAAAATAGGAGTAGTGTGCAGCAAGCTTTAGACAATGGAATGACCTATTATTTAATTCTTTAAGTAAACATCTACTGTTTTACGACATAATTTATATTATTAAATTTCGGTTTTAGTTAAGACATACACATCAACTAGGGAAAGGGATCCATTCCCATCAACTAGCAAAGCACAAGAAACAACAAATATTATTTAAAGGTAAAGGACATATTGGTGGGAGTTACCAGCTACTAAAGGTACATACCCATTGTTCATGAGTTGTATTAAGACTACTTTAATAAATTCAAGTTATTGCAAAAACCATGTTTATTTCAGAATACTTTTGGCAACATTTATTAACTCTTACTTTTCTTAAAAATAGTTTTAGTGTTCAGAATTTTTATTTATTAGATGGATCATAATAATTAAAAATAATAAAATTATTCAAATTATTAATATTTTTAAACTCAAACAATTAAAATTCTTCCTATGCTAATCACCCTAGCCTTGTTACTGGTTCTGTCATTGGGCCTATTGTCCAGGCGGTTAGGTGGTCTAGACGAGGTCAAGGCGGAGGCATCGACGAACTAGACGGATTTAAATAATTAATTTATCATGTATTGTATAATAAGTGTTTGCTTATATTTAAAAGATACATAATTTTATTGGTAATATATAAATTGTAAAATAAAATGACATTTAGATTATAAAATATTATAATATAATACAAAATGAAAGTTATTGATTTCTGTCTAAGTGAGCGTCTCGACCTAGGTGACTCTAGACGGGGTAGGCAGACGCCTAGACAGTTTATTTTCAAAAGCCTAAGAATTAATCCAGATGATGACCAACCGCTTACGGCTAAGCAGAGATTTTTAAAACAGTGATTAAAATAGATAAATGCATGATTTTGATAAAAGAGAAGCCATCCATATTTTATATAAGGACCGTATTTATTCCCTTACATTATCTATAATTCAATTATCAACCACTACATGATTTGGTTTAAAATTTTAGTCTCCCTTCCATTACCCTAATTTGATATATCCAATAATTGAACCACGTCGTCTTCTGCAAGTGGTGTGCGGCTGTCGATCGGTGTATGCACAATGCTTCATTTCCTGCATTTAAAGTGACCTGAGAAACAAATCAAAACCACAATCGATCTCAAGTATTACTACAAACCGTAGCCCTTGCCCTTTGCTTCAAGCATGAGTAATTACCAGCCATTGCCATCCCTTCACATTGCAATGTATCCATGGTTTGCCATGGGACACTTAACCCCCTACCTCCACCTCTCCAACAAGCTAGCCGAAAGAGGCCACAGAATCTCCTTCTTCGTACCAACCAAAACCCAGCAAAAATTACAAGCTTTAAACCTCCACCCTCATCTCATATCCTTCATCCCCATCACCGTCCCTCATGTCGACGGCCTTCTGCCGGGCGCCGAAACCACAAACGATGTCCCTTTCCCTTCCAACTCTCTCCTCATGGACGCCATGGACCTCACTCAGCCAGCAATCCTGCAATTAATTTGTGAACTAAACCCTAATTTTGTTTTCTTCGACTTCACGCCATGGTTGCCAAAATTGTTACGTCAGCTAGGTACAGGCATTAAATCTATATACTATATCATTATTAGTCCTGCAATTGTGGGTTATGTGAGAAGCCCAGAAAGAAAAGTACTAATGGAGAAATCGGTGTTGACGGAAGATGATCTTATCAACGAACTTATCAACCCGCCGCCATCTTTTCCACCATCTTCAATCAAGCTACCAGCACACGAAGCTCGAATGCTGGCGCCATTCCTGCTGAAGGAGTTCGGCAGTGGGATGAAATTAATCGAGCGCCTAAACATCTCCTTGAAAGACTGTGACGCGGTGGCTTTCAGGACTTGTAGGGAGATGGAAGGGAAGTACTGCGATTATCTTGAAACCCAATTGAGAAAGCCGGTGCTTCTCGCAGGGCCGGTGGTGCCAGAGACTCCGACTACAGAGTTGGACGAGAAGTGGGCAAAATGGCTTGAAAGGTTCGAAGCCAAAAGCGTGATATACTGTGCGTTTGGAACTGAATGCGTTCTGAAAATTGATCAGTTTCAAGAATTGTTGTTGGGTTTTGAGCTCACGGGTTTACCCTTCTTCGCTGCACTGAAGCCGCCGATGGGAGTTGAAGCGATCGAGTCAGCGTTGCCGGAAGGGTTTGAAGGGAGGGTAAAAGGAAGAGGGGTTGTGAGTTGGGGTTGGGTGCAGCAGCCATTGATGTTGAAGCACCCTTCTGTTGGGTGCTTCGTGACGCATTGCGGTCCATCGTCGTTGATGGAGGGGCTGGTGAGCGAGTGCCAGCTTGTTCTGCTGCCAAACGTGGCGGATCAGCTAGCCATTGCAAGAGTGATGGGTCGTGATCTGAGAGTTGGAGTGGAGGTTGAGAAAGGAGAGGAAGATGGGGTTTTTACGAAGGAGGGTGTTTGCAAGGCTGTGAGAGATGTGATGGATGAGGAGAGCGAGGTGGGAAAGGAAGTGAGGAGAAACCATGCAAAGTGGAGGGAGTTTCTTTCCGGTAAAGGGCTTGAGAACTCCTATATTGACAGTTTTGTGGAGAAGCTGCATGCGCTGCTTGGCTTAAATTAGTAAAGTTTCATAGAGTTTAAGTATTGACGGTTAAGAGTGTGCCCCCTTGTACTGAGATTATATGGTTTGATTAGTTAGGTGGTTAGATAAGTTTGTTCTAAGACAAGTATAAACACTACTTCCCATGTATTACTTGGTTGTTAAGAAAACATAATAAGAATATTCAGTTCCCTCAATTTCCCTGTCTTTTTCTCTCGCTATGTTCATCAAGATCTTCATCATATATTGGTTAACATGGTATTGATTGCCTTCGTAGCTTACGCGTGATCTTTCTATCCTTTTCTCTGCTTCCGCTCACCAAGATTTGGTATTCGTCTTCTTTGAATTGTGGTTTTTGCCACTGCAATTCAGCTCATCTTCTTGAAACCCTCTCAATCTAGGTTTTGGTTGATCTTGATCTTCGACCGATCTTCTGCATCTTCTCAATTTGTGCACACCAGGTGCTTGTGACGAATCTTTAGTGACATTTTCTTACAGAATCAAGCTTTGTTGATCGCATTCTATTTCACGAAGACTGCATCACAACTTCAAATTCTTAAATCTCCAATTACGGCCCTGAGTCCTTTAGTTCCAATTTCAGTGAGTGTGTAACTTGATGACTTGAACTACCTAAATTGGCACTTCCAATCGCAGCTCATGCTGGAAAATAATTGTGTCATGGGATTTGTAGATGTATCTAATCCTTGTCCGGTTCAGCACACCTCTCAATCTAGTGACTTTAGTATAAACTCTACTGACTCTTATTCTTTTGTGGAAAGTGATGCTTTTGTTGTCTGGAAGATGCATATGATCTTGCCATTATGCGATTAATTACTGCTACACTTTCATCTGTTGCTATGTCATGTGCAATTGGTAGCTCTAGTTCTAAAGATTTGTGGATTAGGTTGAAAGAACAGTTCTCAACTGTTTCTAGAACTAGCATTATTTTCCAAATGAAATCCAATTTACAAACTATTAAGAAGGGGTAAGATACTATCACTCAATACTTGTATAGAATAAAAGAAGTCACAGACTATTTAGAAAAATAGTAAGAAATTTGCATAAGTTTTATTACTAATCCTCCAGATTGGTATGCACATATTCACAAGGAGAAAGCTAGGCATATAGTCATGATTAATGAAGAGTCATTTAGATTATCCTCTATCTCCCCACACATGTGGACTCTTTAATACAAAAATATTTTAAGATTTCGAGGGATCCAAATGTTAGCCTTAGATGAGTTTGAGGATTTTAGGTAAGATATGGTATTAGTAGCAGAAGAAGAAGAAATGTATATTTACAGTAAGACAAGAATCAATCATCAGCCTTACTGGAAGCCTTAAAATTTCAAAGAAACAGCAGAAAGGTACTACAAAGTAAAAGAAGATAGAGAAAGAGATGCATAACTAATCGAAGGCGATAAACAATACTGAAACAACTTGACAGAAGAAGAGTTGCATAACATCGATAACATGATGGAAGCATAAAGAGCTGGCAGCAAATTGGCATAAGTTGAATAGTATCATGTAAAATAATGTATTTCCAGACAGAAATGTCAACATCATTGTGAACCCTACTATAATAATAAAATAATGGCATAAGAATAAATAAAGAAAAGATCTTGATCTATTATGAACTTTTCATACACAAAATGTCTTTTTGATTAAAAATGTGCTGCCAAATAATGTTTATCAGAAGAAGAAGGGGATCCAAGGGATTATTGAGATTGAAAATCCGAATTTGGTAAAGCCGAAGACCATGAAAGCTCGAGACGTTGATGTAAGTTCTGCAATTTACTTTGACAATGGCTGTGAATTCTGATAGTGGATTTTGTGAAAGAGTAATATTTGTTATTTTCTCTACAGATGGGAACGACAACTGAACTCTCAAGGCGTGAAAGGTTTGTCCGTGGATTATAAGTTCTATTCGTATTTCTTCTTTTATCCTAATCGGTTTTGACATCCTCAATTTTTGTTCGTTTGTTTTCAGAGAAGAATTGGAGAAACAGAGAGCCCGCGAGAGATATATGAGGCTGCTAGAACAGGGAAAAACTGAACAAGCAAGGAAAGATTTAGGTATTTTGTCGTGATTATGGTTTGCAAAGAGTAACTATTAGTGTCCCTCTCATCGCACATTCACGTGATGAGAGAGACACTAAGGGGATATACAACCGGCTACATGTTAGAATCTCTCTGATTCAAGACACGGTTGTTAGCTGACGTATGGATTGGCTTGCAGCTTGCCTCGTAATTTTTGTTGTCGAGTTACAATGGCGTCAATATTTTTTGCTGCACATTTTACTGCTGAAAAGGCTTGTTAGATATGGGTTCTTTAGAGAAGAACAAGAGGCTCCTATGGGCTGGATTTGCACTTTCACTGCTATAGTTTGGAATTTCTTGTTGATATCATTTTGTTGATCATGCAGAGCGTTTGGCGCTTATACGAGAGCAAAGGGCGGAAGCTGCTAAAATAGAGAAGAAGAAAAAGCTGGTAATGTTTCTGAGACCAGCACAACTTATTGCTTGTTGCTTTGTTCCGTTTTTTCTTTTTTTTCGTGTCGATTTCTCTTGTTCTGGATCTTCAGGGACTGTAATTGCTCAACTCCCAATTGTTTCAGCTAGAGAACAGAAGAAGGTTGAAGCCCGCAAATGATCAACTTGAAGCAAAACAAACTCATGCTGCTGTTAGAATTTTATTGTGGAAAAATTATGTAGGTAGAACCCCGTTGAATTTTTAAACCACTTAGTGACTTTTGGAATATTTACTGTGTAAAACAATCATTGGGCAATTTGAAAATTGAAGTGCTTATCCATTGGGGGCGTAATTTTAATCGGCTTTCTCTAAAAGCAGTTTACAAAAGTATAAGATTTTTTGTATTTTTTATTTTATTCGGTTTTATGCTGGTATTATTTGGTGTAAGAGCTACTTTTATGGAAACTTTAACGAGAAACTCTCAATACTATTTATTTTAACAAAAAATCAAATTTTTACTTTAAGAAGTCAATCATAGTAATATTCATTTACAACACTTTTTTGTAATGTTTGTTAAAACTTAAAATTTTCAAGTTCTTTTCGTTAGTTTTCCTTGCTCTTATTTGTAGAATTGCAAAAAATGTTCATCTTGTCAAAAGAGTAGCTTGGCAGTTGCTCGCCACGCAGTATGACGTCATTTTTGCAATTACTTGCCACGTTTAGATAATATTAATGTTATTAATCTTATGTAGTTGATATACGGTTTGTTTGGAGATGTTTTAAAAGAAATTGAAAGTGTTTTTGGTGAAATTTTTGTTGTTTTAAAAACATTTTAAATGTTTTTGAAGAAGTACCAGATGTGTGTTTTTGGCATAAAACATTAATGTGTTTTGCAAGAAGCTTTTTAAAGTGTTTTTTTCAAATTCAATTGAATTTTTACTTTAATTATTTTAAAAACACTTCTAAACGAGTTTAATTTTGTCGATATTGGTTAACCGGTCCAACCTAGTTCATCAGATGCGAGAGTGAGCCACCTGTTCAATTGGACAGGTGGCAAAACGACGGAATATAGGCATACTCTTGAGCGAAGCCAGAAACACAATCAAAACCGGAGGCACCGATTCACCAGAGCCATGACTGAACCCAAACCCGATACACCTCAAAACGTTCCTCCTTCTGAGATTAACAACACCGCCCATACTAGCAAACCCAGCAGGAGTTTCTCGGGCGAAAAGGTCCGCTTCCCAAACCCGCCCGACCCTCAAATCCCAGACGCGGCGACGCTTCGGGAGCAGTGGAAGTTCGCCATCAGGCAGTACAGCAAATGGTACTCTCACGCCTGGGGCACCGCCATTCTCGCTGGAGCTTCCTTTTTCGCCCTCGGTTGGTTCATCAAGGGCGGTAATCCTCTGCCCTCCGTCGGCCGCCACGACGATTCTCCTCCTCCTCCTCCTCCCGACGAATCCGAGGAAGCTCGACGCCCATGAGCCTCACCTCTCCCCCAGTTCCTGGTGAGCTTGTCTTCCTCTGTGTAATTTTAATTTCAATTTTGGGTAATTTCAATTTTAAATCAATAGGTCGGGACTCGGATTGGATATGATATTTTTGGGAAATTCAGTGGTTTGAATTGTTGGATTGTGATTCATTTGGCTTAAATTGGACTAAAATATTAAGCTATTGTTAGTTGTATAATCTAGCTGAATATAAAGCAACCGTTTTCAGATAACCAAAAGCGCTTCTGACAATCTATTTCCGTAAAAACACCTAGCTTGTTCATGCAGAAACACTTCCTAGAAAGCACTTAATGTACTTGTTTGCATTTGCTTTTAAAATAACTGAAAGTCCTTTTGGTTATTTTAAAAGTACATTCAAACAAGTTCTAAAACATTCAAGGCGCTTTCTAGAGAAGTACTTCCAGACGAGCCCCGACAAGAATTACATGTCTGCATCTGTGAGGAAGACAAACGGAGCGCTGTTGCGTTTTGATTGTTTTCCAACACTTCTTGTTAAAGTTACTGATCCACGATCTACTGATAAATGCAGATGTCACGTCTCTAAGGAGCTGGTTCGGTACATCGGATCGGTGCGGTGCGGCGCGGCTTGAGCATTCTGTGGAGTGTTCTTAGATACTATGGCTGTGAATATGTGTACAATCTTTGTCAAGAGTCATTTGGCTGTGGCTGTTTTAGTTTGTTCCCCTACCAAACTTCTTCCACTTATTGCTCTATAAATCGAACTTTGAGGAAGCAATATTGCCGGGAGAATTCGATTTTTCATCCGAATTCAACGATGAAGATGGTGGAAACCATAGCAATCACGAAATTTGTGAAACGAAGGAAAACTTTTGGAACCTGATTAATCACCATTTCGTTTTGAATTTCTAGTTTTCAGTTCTTGTGCTTGAGATGGGGCAAAGTTAATCGTTTTCCGACGCTCACGGAAGGAATGCCCACTTTCAGCTCAAAAACAACCAAACTTTATATAAAACTCAACCAAGAAAGAATAATTACACAAGGGGAAGCAAGTAGTTCAAATCGAATCAAAGGAAAAAACAAGAACATATCCTTAACATCCTAAATTTTGCGCTAAACATAGACAAGCTTTCGAGCATCTGAAGCATAGTGTTCAAAGAGTTAATATCCTGTCGAGAAAGCAATGTCGTGGAGTCAGGTCAACCTCTGTGTATGGACATGACCTCGCCCGATAGAACGTCAAAAGGCACTCGAAAAATTCCGGCAAATTTTACGTAGAGCAACACCCGACTTGCTTCACAGCTGATACGTCGTCCTTTCCCCCGACATTGATTGTTTGTCCTTTGGGCAAGGCTGCTGGGTCATCCCCAATGTCAAGGGCCTTCCGGCTCATAACGCGGTAGATTTGGGTCAGCACTTCGGTGAAAGCATTGTCGACGTTCATAGACTCGAGGGCAGACGTTTCCATGAAAAAGGTGTTCTCTCGTTCAGCAAACGCCTTAGCGTCATCAGTGGAAACAGCTCGCAGGTGACGCAGATCTCCCTTGTTTCCCACTAGCATGATCACAATGTTGGCATCTGTGTGATCGCGAAGCTCCTTCAGCCATCTCTCCACATTCTCAAATGTAACATGACGAGTAACGTCATAGACAAGTAATGCCCCAACCGCGCCTCGATAGTATGCGCTTGTGATTGCACGATACCTTTAACAAAAGAAAAGCAAAACGCAATGTGAGATATTAACACTGGCCGGGATTAGTTTACACCACAACAAACAACATACAAATCTATTAAATGAAGGACAAAATGTTTGAACTTGTATGATTACGATGGTTTAACAACCGTAATGACATGTCAATTTGTGACGTAGCTAGAACAACCACCTTACCTAGTAATCTCGAAATGCAGTAAACTGCGCTAAACCCGAAAATTATAGCAGAGTGAAATGTGACCTAATTAAGTGAACAATATTTGCTTACTCAAAGAAAGAGTACGAGTTCCTACTCAAACTTATTCGTTGTCGATTCATAGAACTCCGTTTTTATAATCAGATTCGTTCATATTATAAATCACTCTATAAAGATCCCCTCTGTAAAAATTGAATTAAAACTAAGTTCGTTTAGTCATTGAACTATATAAAAAATTAACGGAATAGGTAAAAGCATTACCAACCGTCTATGTATTTGCTAAAATAGATTAACAAAACGACCTTAGTTTTAATTCATTTTTTACAGAGATGATCTTTACAGTGTGATTTATAATATGGATGGTTTTGATCATAAGCACAAAGCTATGTGATTCAAACAAGAAGGAGTTTTGAGTAGGAGTTCCTACTCATCTAGCCAAACATTGTTCTAATTAAGTATAGGATACTTGTCTAAACAACACTCCACAAAGCAACAGAGCTAAATCAACAAACTACAAATGTAAAAACGCCGGAAACTGTGTATTGTTGCATTCTACTAATACAAGCAAACCAGAAGTTCAAGCAGAGAATTAGCATTGCATCATGGTTGTCATACTTCACGAAGATTGTTCGAGACCGATTCCAAAAACAAATACAAACGGAGTAAAATTCAGCTCAGCTAACTAAAACAATGGGAAATGAAAACTTCAACATTTTCATTAACAATTTCATGATATCTTCCTCGGCATTCTCCGCAACCAAACAACACCCATCAAACAAACAGACTTGTAAAAAATAATCCTTCTTCGATCCAGAAGCAAGATTATCAAATCCGTGCAATATAATATAAGCCAAACAACACCAACCAAGAAAACCCAAGAAAAAAACACGAGAATGTGAATTCCAAGATCTAATAAAAAACTAGAGAATTATAAAAAAACAGAGAATGTGGATCCGAACCTTTCCTGGCCGGCGGTGTCCCAAATCTGGGCCTTGACAACCTTATCGTCGACCCGAATGCTTCTGGTGGCGAACTCGACGCCAATGGTGGACTTGGATTCGAGGCTGAACTCGTTCCTCGTGAACCGGGACAAAAGGTTCGATTTTCCGACGCCAGAGTCGCCGATCAGCACCACCTTGAACAAGTAATCGTAATCGTCGTCCGCTCTGTACGCCCCCATCTCCTTCCCCAAAATTCAATTACTGCAAAAATGGGCTGAATCTTTGTCGTCTTTTTGTTCTTGGGTTTTGTCTTTTTCTTTCGATTTGGAAGGAATGAGAGGGAGTTTTGGGATGATGGGTTCGATGGGTTTTTGGCAATTAGTTTATAAATAATGAAGAATCATGGCGGTGGAGGTGTGTATGTGAGTTATGGGGTGAATGGGTTTTGTTAGATTCTGAGAGAAATATATAGCAAAATGGAGGATGAAGACGGCAACCCAACCAAAGCAAGCTGGAATGATTAACGACCCCCGGTCCCAATTAAAAGCTCTCAACCTTTGTACCTTTGGTCGCACCAACTAAAGAAATTGTATTGTTATGCCGACATGTGTTTGCTCCTTTGTATTCGAGAATGAGTAAATGTAACGAGGATGATAATAGTGTTTTAGTTAAAACAAAGAAGAAACCCGAGGGTATTTCCGCTCTTTCACTGTTGCTGAATAGTGTCGGGCTCAATCGGTTTTTAGTATGTATAATGTGTGAAACCACTTGCTAGGCAGTTGGGGACAAAAAAGTTTGTATTCGACATGGTACGTTTTGCATTTTATTCTTAATGTTGATGAATCACACGATAGTAGTCAGGAAGAGGTTAAAATGTCTCTGTGAATCTTTATGTCCACTATAAGAATGACTGCTATAGTGAAATTACCGGCTAGTCCCTTTTTATTTAAATCGTGTTATTTATTTGGAACGTTAAAGAGGGAGAGAGTGAGTTTAGCCTCATAATGGGCTAACAATAATGAGGTTCAAATTTGCCTTTGGCGAGAATTGAACTTAAGACTTTTCACTTACAAGTAAATAGGAACACCACTAGATTGTAGTAAGTTGTTGTTTCTTTTATTTAAAACATGAGAGGAAATTGTAGCAATGATCCCTCAACTTTAACACAATTGGATGGTCCCCAACTAAAAATCCATAACTATTGGTTCCTTAACTCATCAAAACGTGCATATATAGTCATTTTCGTCAACACTGTCAGAACTTCGGTCAAGGTGAGTCATGTGCATAGCACGTGAGGCTAAATTAAGCGGCAAATATGGAAAACCACATAAGAAAAATTGTTGCAATGGTCTCTCAACTTTACCTAATAGGAGAAATTGTCCTTCAACTTTAATCCAACTGTAGCAATTGTCCTTCCAACATAACTTATTTTGACGAAATTCTAATGGAGTTGAGGAAAATGATCATAGTTGCACGTTTTGATGAATTAAGGGATCAATGATCATAGATTTTTAGTTGAGAAACCATTAAACCAATTATGTTAAAGTTGAAGAATCATTATTACAATTTTCTCATAACATGAAGGCGAAGGGTCCAATTGTTATTACAGAAAATATAGACACCAAAATTCTTGTGGAAATGTATAATCTTATTTGGATTCAACACCATATACTTATTTTTTGTTGTTGCTGGAACTTGGAACCATATTAGGAGAAAGGTCAACTCTTCTAGTCTCTTACGACTATCAACTTTATAAAATTCAATGTTTACCATTTCAAATTTGAGTTTCTTTTGGTATGAGTAATACTCATTCGATAAACATCCAACCAAAAAAATTTTGAAAAATGATGTCCAATAAGATACGTGATTTCTCAGATTTATGAAAGACAAAATAATTGGTTACTTCCGCGTATTCATGACCATTTCTAACAGACACATGATTAATTTGAGGTTTATTATATAAGTTTTAAATCATAACAAAGTGTTAGGATCATGGACAAATATTTTTACACTCCTTGTTAGCCCTTTGATCCATTTACATATAAGGGTCCTGATTAAAAGCTAAAGCGATTTTTATTAAGCTAATAGGTAATGTGGCAATGACATGGAAAAAAAAATATAACATTCAATTAAAATATTGATTTAGGGGTTGTATTCGGTTGATATTTTGAAAGATTTATAAGAGTTATAAATTTGTAGAGTTTAATAGAGTTTCGTAAACTCTATATGAATTTTGGGTGAAATCATTAGAAATTTAAGGGGAAAGATGCATAATTTTCTAAAGTGTAAGAAGCGCTATAAAATTCATTCAAATTCCTCCAACTCTTCATCTTTTAGCGGGTCATCTGTTTTGCAACTTAAAGATAAATTTGATGAAATTGGCGATCTCAATTATATATCAATGCAATTTAAAAATTGAACGGACATGAAAATCAAAATTAAAAGTTCGAATGACAAAGTGAAACAAGGTGTAGAATTCAAAGTTGGTTACTAGAAGTTTTTTAAACAAAAAAAAAAAAAAAAAAAATCTAACCGCTCTTGTTTCACGTCAATTTCCGGATTAATTATTTACATGAAACCTTCAAATCACATACGAAGGGTTGGGGCCGGGGAAGAAAATCATTTTTTGTGAGGATTTTAGGAATTTCTATATTTTATCAAATCATTGTACATTGTGTGGTCAGTTTTCGTTAAATATTATTTGTGTTTAATTTTAAACAAAAAAAATTAAATAATTTCTAATCGCACTATATACGATAAATAGTTAAGATGTGGAAATTCTTATGATTCTCACAAAATTAATCCGGATGGGATGCAATTCCGGCCGGGAGCATGTAAGAACAGTCCCAATTCTCTTCAGTCTTCACTCTTCACCCACTCGTGGGGGCATGTAAATGCAGATTACTGCAGGGGTAGATCGGATTTGGATCCTCACAATATCTTCTTCCTGAAAATCCGGGAGATCAATGAACACGAACCGTTGATAAAAAATCGTGCAGTCCTCCAACAACCATCCCTCCCAGAAACCCTGGATACATTGAAACAGAAAGCAACTGATGATCAGATATTTCATGATTTCTTCTTCCTTCTTCCACCACCATGCTTTAAAATCCCTTTCCACCCCCTCCTGTGTAGTAAGTGTCGATCTTTTTCCACATCATACGTGATAGTTCATGCAAAAAATAAGTACAAGTGACTAGTGTATGTGACGGGGTAAGTCTAGCCTCATGTAGCTATATCCTATAGGGGGAAGGAATTTAGCCAGACCTGCAGGTCTTTGATATATCTAATCGAAACATATCACTCAATCAAATCCAAGTAATAACACTAGCTACATATACTATTGGCCTCTGAGATTGCAAATTTGCACGTAACAAATCTGCACCACTAAAAAATAGTTGACCTAGAGCTAGCTCTCCTTAATTCGGAAGGATGTGGATCCTCTAAACATATTCGTTTATCTTATATTATGCGGTAAAAAATTATTATAATTTTTTTATTTAAAATTGTATATAAACAGTACCTGACAAAAAATGGCCACACGATAAACGGATGTGATTGGAGGATTCCCATGATTCTCACAAAGAGAAGAAATTTTTCATTATAACGAGAGTACACTATTTGTTTTTATGTAAGTGGTGGAAATTTTTATTTTTTAAGTTATTAACTTTTTAACATATATATCTCACTATTTATATAGTAGCACATAATGTATCATTTCGTGTATCAATCACACTAAAAAATCTCTCTACTAAAAGATCCGGCGATGATCCTCTTACAATCTGCCTTGCCTTCTCCTGATGATCATCGACTGGAAAGCATGTACATACAGCAAAAGAATGCATGTGGAAGAAATTAAACACACAGCTGTGGGTTGTGCCGGGTGTTTGTCAAACATTAATACTTTTCCGTTTCTGCTCAGGCCCTCTGATTCTGATTGATATGGATTGTCGATGCAAGATGTGTATATATATGTTTTTAAATGGTGATGATCTATTGTATCCAAGTATTGCCGAAGCTGAAAGGCACCCTGCTCACTTTCTGTATGTGCGGATCCATTAAAAAGCCCTAATCTCATTATGCTGTGTGTATTCATTCATACATAAATATACACATGTATGCATATGATCTACGCACACATATAGCGCACCGGATCAAGAACTTGGCAGCATATATAGGTGTATGAATGTTATATATTAAATACCACTCATGATCACCTTTTTTTTCATCTTAATTTATTTTTCTTAGGAAGCCCTAAGTTTCTCCTTATAGTAAGTACGCATGCCCTAAGTTTTTCATGAACAAACGATGACACATCAACATAGAATTAACAGTGCATATACTGGATGGTTAACGAATATCAATGTGGTAAGAAAGGTGCGCTCGAGCAAGCAAATTTTTGTGTATATCAAAAACATGATCACATAGTTTTATTATTCTAAATTTTTATTTATTATTATATATAAATGTGTAATAGGTTAAATATGTAACACTACTAGAGCATATCAATACAAATATATAAATTTAAGGGGTATTTTTTGAGTAGGACGTGACAGAGTTCGAGGTTAAATATGTAAAACTACCATTGAGTGCGCCTACGGCAAGGCCATATTTGACCCTATGACCTGGCTAGCTAGATATACTAGTTCAATTCATTACTAATTTATATACTTTTGGTCTGCACAATTGGTTGCAATTCCTACTAATTTAATTTATGATCAACTTTTTTCATCTAAATATCATACATCTCTCAGTTTACAATTTTGGCAAAGCAATACATATGACCACAGTTCTCTTTAGCCAAATATTGTTGGACAGTTGATTATCGTAGCGTGGCAGTTAGATCTAAATTTTGGGTGGAAGATTCAGAACAAGGTTAAACAATTGAAAAGTATCAGACATCTGGATTCCTTCAACTAAAAGAAACTGAGTCGAAAAGTAGCAGAAAATTGTGAGGATGATATCATTCATTTGAATTTGAGTTTTCCTGCATGCACATGAGCATGATGTGCAGGTTAAAACTTTCATAGAAAAAACACACCCCACAGGTAAATATATATAATCATCGTTTATATAACCAGAAACAGGTACACTAATAGTACATAAATAGGTCCACAAACTCTGAAATAACCCTAGATCCACAAAACGGAATGAAGCCCTATCTTATAATATTGCAAACCCTAACGCAGATTAAAGAAGACATATATATAGAAAAGACACACAGAACCGAGGCCCGTCTCTTCTAGCTTGCTTCCACCTCTTCTATATCTGCAATCCCAAAAAAAAAACATTAATGATCATCAACTAGCAAGCATAGATAAAATAAATATAAACATACACACACATTACAGTGGTATAGCTGGATAGCAACAAATAAAGAAGCAAAACAAATTTAAATCACTTTTTTTAGACAATAAGATAAAAAGGGCGACTCTAAGCTAATAAGACTCGTAACTTTACAAGGGTTGGGGGGATGTCTATCGTATACAACTTTACATTTACTTTGTAAAAAGACTATTTTCACGATTCAAATACGTGACATTTTGATCACAAAAGAACAACCTTTCAAACAATAAGATAGTCCAAACTAATTCTTATAAACTACGAGCAGAATTCGAACTTCAATAAGGAGAAATACAACGATATAGCTAACTCGCCTAAACCTAAATCTCTACTTTATCACATTGTTTTAATTTGGGAAAATACATAGAAAGGAACCAAATAACATATTAAGGTTAAAAAAATAACTAGCATAAAGAAATAAAAAAATAAAGAAAAATTAAGTGTGAAATTAGTATACCAGGTAATAGAAAGAGCCATGGTGGAGAGGGTGGAGGGTGAGACCCCACTCATTGGTGAGAACGGGCTGACCGGAGGAGTGAATGAGAACGGCGTCATCCCCGAAAGCCTCACGCACGTTGAAGGGACCCGCACCCACCTCGAATGCGACGTCGTTTATGAACACCGTTGATTTCGCCGGACCTCCCGGAGCCATTGCACCCGCTTCGCCAACACTACCTGTCCAAAACTCCAAACACCACCACATTAAGTCACACAATCACACAGTATGCCACGTCGTTTCATCAGTCCGATCTCATGATCTGAAAGGCGTATGTACGTGAACAGTCCGGTATTGTCCGGGTAGTAATTAGTCCAATCCAAACCCAAACACGTTATAGAACAGACTGGTCAATCAAAACCCATGCACACGTCCATCGTAACCCCAAACGCAAAAACCTAGCAAGCTAAAAGTTTCTTGCCGAACATAAAGACAAAACTACCCTCCCTTCCATACGTAATACATTACAAACATGGCAATCACCTTCATCCCAAAATACAAACCCATCATAAATCAATCCCACTTTGATACATTTTGGTATTATGTATCAATAATATATACATATGTGTGTGTGTGTAAGTGCTGTAGTCTAGCACTATATTATTATTTAACGTACATGGAATACCGCTATTATTTCGACAAAAATGGATAAATTGGTTGCAGATTAGAGCATTTCCCTTAGACAAGGACTTAATTTAGACAAATTTCTTATGTGCATTATCGCATATGGAGATCTATTTAGCAAAACATGAAATTTTCAGTTAATCTACCTTGAATGTTGTGAAACATGGGGGTTGGAACAGCAACAGTAGAAGCAGTAGAAGCAGCAGCAGCAGTAGTTGGAGATGTGGTGACATTGATATTGTAATTCAGGTGCTGCTGATTATCCACATTCTTCATGGCCTTGATCTGATCTTCCTGATGGTGATATTCTTTCCCTGATATTCCCCCATGGTTCATGATCTCACTCAGCAGGAGACTAGTGCAAGGCCCAATGTTATTATTATTAGTTTGCTCATGATTTGGAACATGATCCACATTAACCAGCTCAGAAAAGCAAAACCCTTGTGTCAAATTAGGATTAATGTTGCCCTGATGCACCGGAAAAAAGAACGGCGATTCAGGCAAGACCTCGTTGTGGTGAGGATGGTGAGGCTGGAAAAAGTTAGTGCTTTGGTTCACAGAAGCAATTGGAGAGTTGATTGAGACATCATGAGTGGAGAACCCCATGGAGAAAGCCTTGTTGTTTGGTGCTTTGGGGGATGATTTTTCAGAGGACGAGGAGGACGACGAAGGGGCGGCGGCATTGATGACATTGAGAGTGGTGGCTGCGGAGACGGGCGTGGAGATAGGAAGATGGGTGTGGCGATGATGGGTTTGTTGTTGCTTGGATGAGTTGTGGAGGTTGCGGAGCTTGTGCTTGCTTCTTGACTTTCGGTTTTGGAACCAATAGAACACATTGGCGTCTCCCACTTGACCGTACTCTTGCAGCTGAGCCCTAATCTTCCTGATCTCATCCCTCGGAGGATTCACCACCCCGGAGTTGAAGATTGCTTCGAGTATGCGAATTTGCTCCGGCTTTGGGTTCCATCTAGGTTTTGGCTCCGGATTGCGTTCTTCACACCCTCCCACTGTTACATTCACATAATTAATCAAAAATGTAAATGTACGTAAACTAAAACATATATAATAATTAGTAACAAATTATGCATATCATATGGATAATTAAAAAAACTATTATTATACACAGAAAAGAGATTTGAACTTGAGTGCAGATTTAGTGAAAAATAATTATAAAATATTGAAAAGAGTTTTAACATAAAGTGTTGAAGACGGTTATGAAGAAGTGAGTGATGAAATAGGAATTTGGGGAGTTACCTGAGGAGAAGGAGGAGGGTTGGTGGCAGCTGTTTGAGACGAGAGAAGGGCTGATGTCATGCTGCCATTGGTGGTGCGTGCTGCAATCAGCAGGCTTGGACTTGAACATGCTTGGCCAGTGTCTGTTTGATGAAGCCATGATGACGATGACGACCAAAGGGAGGGATAGCGAGACAGAGAAAACTAGCTAGATATTACAGTAGCTAGGAAGCTATGGGTATAGCCAACCAAAAGGGAAGGAGAAATCCTTTTCTGCTGTTTGTTTTTCTCCTTAGCCCACCAGAGCATCACTTCTTATAGTCTCATCACCTACTCCTGTGAGTTCAATATTTCTGTTGTTTATTAATTTAAACTTGTACAATAAATAAACACTAGCCCTTCCCCCACGGAGCAGGATTCTTTCGTCTTTTTTTTTTCCTTTCCCTTCTTTCCCCTCCAATTTGAACGTTCATGGTTAAACTACGTCAACATCTTATATTAATTTTTTACAAAAGAAGAAAGTCAAAATAGAGAATGTGAGGGGAGGGAATAGAAAGAGAAGGAGAGAGAATCCTAGTCCCTTCCCACGTCCCAAAGAAAATATAAAAAATAGGATACAAACTGATGAGAAATTATATAAATCAAACAAATATAATTTGATTTATATATAAAATGGGCAGAACCCACAACAGGAATCGCCTGCTAGAAAGATAAACAAGAAAGGAAATGAAAATAAATTTGTGTGGGGTGAAATTAAAAAAAAGAAAGTACTACTCTCAACCCATCCCTTCTTTTAGAATTTAGATTTAATACTAGCAAGTGAAAAGATGATGCATGAAATAATGCTTGTTCTCTAAAACTCTGAAAAGTATTACAAACCCAAATCCCCCCGGGACGAAAAGCAGGGAACTTAGAAAATAATACCTGCTGGGGGCTTAATTAGAATCTTCATCACAGAGAGAGAGAGAGAAGTGAGGACTGTTCTGACCAGTTTGTCTCCCTTAACTTTTTGTCTTTTGAGATTTGTAAAGAGAGGAATCCTGCTTGCTCTGATCAATTGTTTGGGGTTTTGCTTTGCAGTGCGTGGGGAATTAATTGGCCTGGGAGAGGTGAAGAGGGTGGAAGTGAGATGTTGAGATTATTCTAATGGGAAAGGTGGTTGTGGGAATAAATAGGGGAGGGGAGGGGTGTTTGAAAGTCAAGGCAAAGGGAGAAGGGAGCATGCAATGTAATGTAATTTGTAGGGTTTAACCGGAAAGCGGTGGTGTGAGTCGTGTAATAGTAATTGCATATCTCATATTGGGTTTATTTTGAACAAAAGTAACGTAGGCTTTTGGATTGACTCGAGGGCATTTATTTATTTATTGTCATTGTTAATATAATTTTTTTTTGAAATTAGTTGAAACTCTCTAGGTTCTTCTAATTTCTCAAATCCGCATAATAAGAAAAATATAAGACGGTAAGGTGCATGAAAAATATGTACCTATATTATTTAGTAATTTAGGAGTCGTTTCATAACCATTTTGTTTTTATATTTTAGTTTTCATTCCTTTAAAACTAAAAACTAAGGAGTTGTATTCAATTAAGATTTTGAAAGATTTTAAAAGAGTTATAAATTTCTGAAATTTAATGGAGTTCCATAGACTCCATGTCAAATTTAGGTGAAATCATTAAAAATATTAGGGATATGCCTGAATTTTTAAAGCATAAAAGACACTATAAAATCCCTCCAAAATATTTAATCTTTTAAAATACTTTAAATTCAAATCATAATTGAATTACATAAAGTTTTATGAACAACTTTTAAAATTCGGAATGAATACACTTGGATTCCTTATGAATTTTTATTAACTCTTTTAAAAACCTGATTGAGTACCCATAGACTTCCATGGATTCATTAAATACTTGATTGAATACATATGGATTTGTAAAGGGAAAAGAGTTGTTGGAGCCCTAGAAGCCTAGAACTTCACAGCCTCACGCTATCAGTGGTGGTTTATTCAGGTGATTTTTGGTTGAGTATTATAGAGGAAAGTGAGAGCTTCAATTTGACGATGTTCGTGTCAACCAGTTCTGTCGGAGATGGCCAAAATTTATGTCGAAAAAAATCCTGAAGGAAAAACAAGTTGGTGAGAGATCGCGAGTTTGTGCGCTAGATTTCTAGGTTGACTTTCCAACATGGTAAACTTTCTATTTCTAAAAATTACTATTCATACTAATTGTAAAAGACTAAAATGCCCATCATCTTTGGTGCTCGTAACTTTTTTATTTCAACTCCAATTCGTGAGTGATTTTCGCCTAAATGCTCGAAGGATCAATCTTTATCCATCTATTCTAAATTCACCCTCAAACACCAAAGTAAACATGAAATACGACTCTAAAATTGTTTTCTCAAAATTCTAAAATAAAAAACAATAAATTCCATAACAGAATATCACACACATTGAAAATGGCCATTACAGAAAAATGCTGGAGGCAAGGGAAGGTTAAAGTGCTGCGACGTGACTGTAGTGCTTGCCCCACTTCCTGGTTTTAGCTTCATCAGCTGATGGGTCAGTAGACTGATCAGTAGAGAAGAAAACTTCCTCAGCAATCATTTCGATTGGTTATGCCTAGAAAAATAAAAAAGCAACATGACTGATCTCTACAATACTTGTCAAACAGTACTAAAACGTATAAATAACTTGAACAGGTCAACTTATAATGTTAAAATTTTCATATACCACATATTTTACGATGAGTTTAAATTTTATGAATGATAATTGTTAAAAAAAATATTTATCTTATGACATGTTTCATGTTATATATAATATACGTTATGTAACTAATTTGAGTGATTAACAAAATTCACACGTGAAAGCAAGGAGCGCTTTGATAATATCTAACCTTTGACTAGTTAATTTCCTGCCAAGAAAAGGGTGTTTGACTGATTATTAATTTAATCTTAATGATCCATGGCCATTAGACCAATTCCTAAGGTATACTTTCTAAAAGTGCTTGCTGAACATTAAAGCAGGCACGATTAATCTCACGCGAAACCTCTTTTTTGTTTGTGGACTAGGGTTCATACTTGTCTACACGATTAAATGCAATATTGAGTCTCAGCTGGCATTTGTTTGTCGATAGTTATCAAGTGAAACAACCAAAGAAATAGTACTTAATCACAGAGAGATACTGAATCATAACTCGATGGCGCTGTTTGGGGTGATTTGAATTTTGTTGGGTACTGAGCTCTTTTGTCTTTTAACAACTAGATCCATCTGTGCAAATCAAGAACACACATATATTAGGAGATGTTATTAATATATAGGGAAATGCTAAGAAAATTTTCTTAAAAATGAAACTCTTTATACTCTTTAAACTCCATCACTTATATTTTTTTCATAATATTTTATAATATTAGCACGGAAATTAACATTAAATTATGATGTGATAGAAAATATATGAAGAGTCTCCCTTCAAAAGAGTTTCCTTCGCATTCTTATATATATATATATCTACAGAGAGGGAGATTATATGTTATATTGAAGAGATTTTTCAGTGTGACCGATATACAGGTGGTACACCACGTGTCACTATACAAATGGTGAGATATGTGCTAAAAAGTTAATAACTTAAAAAATAAAATTTCCCACCACTCCTATTAAAACACGTGGTATACCATTTGTGTTCCCGTCACAACTAAAAATTTCTCGTTATATTGATGGATTTCGAACTTATACCTAGAGTACTCTACACTTGACCTAGCTCAGATTGAGGGTTATTACATATATATCTTTGAAGCAAAAAAAAAAAAAAAAATCTCATCAGAAAAATGATTGATATATTGCTTCATTAAAGATATTAAAGTGTGGACATGTCTACTATATAAGCATACAATTAACTTATACAATGAAATTTGCTAGCGTTTTTCCTGTGGATATGTACATAATGTAGTTTGCAAAAGTCAGAGACATAGTCAAATACACATAATACTGCAGCATGGGTATTGGGGGAAGATGATCAAAGCATGCAGCATATCTATGTGTTATTGTGTGTGGACTATGCTATGCGTGTCCAATTCCCCATGCACACATACAGAGAGAGGAAAGTGTGTTAGGATTTTAGTCTACGTAGTGTCGGTTCGATTCCGACATGCTAACAAAATCATTATGGGACCTCAAGCCCTAACAAAGCTTTGCGCTGGAACCCTGGGATGGTTGAAACTCTCTTTAAAACGGTCTTGGAATTCTGCTAATTAAAACAAAGAAAATGTGTAATCCATACTTTTGTTCATATCTGTGTCTTAAAAATCAAAATGTTTTCGAGTCAAGGTTTGACAATAAGAGATTTGCACCTTGAATTCGAACGGAGCCCCTTTTATGCTAAAGTTGACTTACCATATTACCTATTGTAATTGTAAATAGGATTTGTATTCTATTATGGTTAGAAGTCTTAATTATCGTAATTTCTTCTTTTAAAAGTCTTTGTAAACTTAAATATTTCTTCCTTAAGAACAAAAATACATATTAGAAATATATTCCACTATTATTTTGAGTAAGATAACATGGGTGAGTTATATGGCTATAGACGGTTGGCTAGCACCCGGATTATGCTTAGGCATTCGAAAATTAAGAAAGGGCGCCTAGACCTGCTGAGGTGCCCGCCTAGACCGCTAGGCATCCGCATAGCCTGTCCAGACCCGCCTAGGTTGAAACTCACTTAGACAGAAAATAGATAACTTTCATTTTGTATTTTATTTTTTTCAATAACTTGTAAGAAACTTATTGCATACTTAAAATGAACACACGTTATAACCTTGGTCCCCATGTTTTCATTATATTCCAATACTTCATAATATATATGTTATACTATTTTGTAGTTTATAATGAAATTATATATATTTTAAGTATAAGTAGACATTTATTTATATGAAATATAATAGATTTACTTAAATCCCTAGTCTGCCTAGGTCCCACCTAGCCACCTAAGCGCTAGGCCCCAGCCTGCCGCCTGACTAGCGCCTAGCGTCTTTTAAAACCTTGGTTACATGTGTATATTTTAAGGTATCAGTAAATAAATTACGAGTTATGATATAGATGTAACATATCGTGACAGTGAGACGGTCATACCCAAAAAGAAATTCATAAATGTGAGATTTCTAATTAATTAATAATATTGTTTAACACATTGTTATGTTGTGATATAACATAATAGGACAACTTTGGCGTTTTGAGGTCGAATAGACTTGGAGAGTGTCTCGTTATGGATTTCACATTCCGTTTCATGTGACATTGGATACAGTTCTTTGTCTTGTTACTTTTGTTGCGTTATAGTGTTAGTCTTCGTACCGAACATGTGAATATCCACCATTTGAGTAACACAATGGAATGGATCACATACTTTGACTTAATGGTGAAGTTAAGCCCTTTTGAAATTTATAATGAATTGACTAAAAGTACTGATCAGAATTTGTGTAAACATGCACATTTGAACTAATATATATATTCACATTGCATTCTAGTTATACAGTAAAATCTCTACAAAGTTATAAAGTTGGGATCAAATTAATTTATAATTTTAGGAAGGTTATTACATTATTTATTTGACTTATTTATCCTTAATGTGTGTTGTATTTCCTAAATAGAAATTTTTGTGCGTCGAGTATTTTATTTCTTGCACATATATATTTTCTTTACTTGTACTCCAAGACGACGTTCCTTGATGCCCATTGCCCCGTTGTGCATATAAAGGTGTTGAATAGCTTTCATTTTTTTCTATCAAATCTGCCATATATGCCACCCGAGGTCAATATGAAAAATCAATCGACTGAAACTATTTGTGTTGAGTTGTGCAAAAAGAAAGCATCAAATTCCAACTGGAAGCAAGAATTATAGTTATATGGAGATGTGTTTCCTTAAGACAGGACCAAGAATAATTATAAATTATTACAGTCTCTCTACAATATGAAGCTTTCAATCTCCCTACAATGCCCTCACTTTAATATTATAGAGAAGAACAATGAATATAGCCATATAACTCAAAATAGAGACTAAATACATGTTTTAAATGAATATATTCGAACCATGTTATGGTGTTTATTTATTCTTCCTTTGTTTTTTGTAGAATTTTTTTAATTAAAAATTTGTAAATAAATTTAAAAATAGTAAAACAAAAATTTTAAATTAAAAAGGTTAATTGCCACAGACATTCGTGTGTGGTAGAGGCTAGTAGAGTATTACTTTAGGTGGGAACCATGCATGGTGGATTTTAAAGGGTGGAGGGTCTATGGAGAGGGAGTGCTTAAATTCCTAATAAAAGGTGGATGTCTGAAAACGACTACAGTTTAGATTGTGAAAA